GCGTAATGCCGCCCAATACAATACATGCAATGCTTTTGTAAGACTGTGTAATCCCCTGTATGGCTTGCAAAAGGTGTATCTGCCAAAATTCTACGCTTATATATCAATGGAATAAAAGATATCTGTCTTTAATAAAATATATAAAATACCATAATCTGTCCAACAGAACAATAGGAGGTGTTTTTATTTTAAAGGATGGCTTCTCAGTTTGACACTAAACTGTTTTTGGATGGGAAACGCAGGGATTTGTTTTAATGAAGGGCCGTCTGAGAGGAAAGTGAGATCCACTTCAAATGTCAGGATCTGCGGGGAGAAACTTCAGAGGGAACACGAGTAAATAAGATAAGAAGAAACTGCACTGATCCCTGGTGGGGAATTTGATTTTTGCAGCAGTGAAGGCAATGGGACTTCAACAGAAAAAAAGAAACAAACAGGGGTATGAAAAAAAAAGCAAAAGCAATGAAATGACACAAAATAATATCCGTAATGAAGCGACCGTTAGAAGAGAATAAACAATAATGGCTTCATGTCAGAAATCATTGTGCTGATGATTTGGAGTGCATGTAAATTGGACTGTCGAGACCGGAGAGATGGTGAATTTAATATTTCTAAATATACTTCTGGTTTGATTTTAATGCATTATCTGTTTGCAGCTGTGGTTTTGCTTGTTATCCATTTCAGCTTAACTGAACCGAAGTTTTTTGATGTGAAGAAAATAGTGCTGGTTGACATTTTTTTACCCCCTAAATCTCTGATCGCACTCCCAGACATAAAACATTCTGATTGACACTGAGGAGTTGTGATCCACGTCTGTTCATGTGCTGTCATTACTGAAGGCAGCGAGTCAAGACGAGGTTCAGTGTGCATCGACAGACGTGTGACTGAGCTTTCTTCAGTCCTCTGAGCTCTCGAGAGCAATTTCTCTGCACAGCTTCACTTTTGTTCTTGGTCCTAAGTCAGATGTTTTTGCCAGTGGTTATTTGTCTGATAGCCAAGATTCCAAAAGCATCAAATTACTGATGTTATAATCATTTTAATATGTGTGTGTCTGTGTGTGTGTGTGTGTGGGGGGGGGGGGGGGGGGGGGCAGCAGCTCCAGACTCTGATTCTTCGCAGTTTCCTCTACTAAAGCTACATGCTATTCGTCAGTGTATATTGTTTGTAGTCGGTGAGTGAGTAGACTTCAAAATGAGTCTGAACAATTAAAGTCTACCACTACTGAGGCGTGCAGGCTGCTTATTATGCAAATACAATGTAAAGTGCTTTTGTCATTATCTAAATGCCTATAATTCCATATTGCATTGAATACTGTTTTCTCTCCCAGCAGCTCTATGAATATGTATTTTATGGTGCAGAGGCCCAAAAACATTAATTTCTGAAGCTTTACTTTAAAGGTTCTGTGTGCAACAGCAGTAATGTAGCAGCAGACCACTGTGTGCTATGTAAGGAAATAGTGGAGTGATGGCGTCCTGAGCAGAGTGAAGTCACGCTCCCTGTGTGTGTGTGTGTGTGTGTGTTGTAATCTGAGCTTCTCTGTTGGTTGTTGTGATAGATGGTCTGGCTGCACGTGCATATGAGTCCCTGTTTGTGTATCTTGTCGGTTAGTAAGCATCGGTGCTTTGCACTGCGCTCATACAGCAGTTGGTGTTGTCGCTAAACCCTCCAGCTTCCTCCCAGGTAACAATGTTAGCTCTGTCAGTGCTGTTGTTGTTGTTAGTGTTGTTTATGGAGTTAGCACCGTTAGCTGCTAACCAACGGCTCAGTCACCCCCATGTTGAAAACTGTGTGCAGACAATCCCACATCTGACTCTGAATCATAGATATGCTTTGAATGTGGTATCTTTTGTCAAATGTTTCCGTTGGCAAAGGTCGTGATTTTGGATTCAATAAAAGTATCAACAAGTTGTGCGTGTGGCAGCTGTTGATATTAATACTTTAATCTAACAACCAATTTCTCTTGTGTAAAAAGCCAAAAATATCCAGCTGAACTGGAAATGCAACAATTATACTGTTTCTTATTCTAATTTTGGGAGGAATTATCTGTAAAATGGGCATGTGCACATATTGTTTAAAGGGACATTGTGTAACATTTTCAGTTGTTTATTGGCAAAAATTGATGTCTGCATTCATAAATATGTCATCACTGGTGTACTATTACCTCCACCAATAATCTGACTTATTCTCGTAAAAGGAGAATTTCGGATTTGTTTGTACATTGTGCGGGTAAGTCGTCTGTGGGGTTCCATTACGTTTCGCCATCTTGAGAATACACCCGCCAGCAAGGGACATACAGCACCGCCTTCTGCGTTTTCGTTGAGAGCCAGGCCAGCACTGCGTGACTGAGGAGCCGAAGGAGAGGAGCAAGAGGCGCTTCACTGCTACCCTGGCAAATTTGAAACAAAGTCCCAATCTTTGAGCATAATGCAGGATCATGCATATGCAGCATCATGGGAGACGGAATCCTTGTTGCCAAGAAAGCGCAAAAGGGAACAGAAAAGGCAGCGTGACCGGCAAATTAAAAAAACGAAGGCCCATATCGGGGTAGCCTTTCCCAGGTAGAGAGAGCTGCTGAGGGAGAATAGTAATACAATCACAGGCCAGCGCCGCTGTTGGCTGTCGCTAACAGCCTCAACCCTCTCCTCGCATCACTGCGCTGCTGTTAGCTGTTAGCCGCTGTTAGCCACTGTTAGCACTGGCCTGTGATTGTATTACCTTTCTCCTTCAGCAGCTCTCTCCACCTGGGAAAGGCAACGCCAATGCTGACCCTTGTTTTTTTAATTCGCCGGTCACGCTGCCTTTTTGATTCCCTTTTGTGCTTTCTTGGCGACCAAGATTCCGTCTCCCGTGATGCTGCATAATACACGATCCTGCATTATGCTCAAAGAGTGGGACTTTGTTATGCGGCAGTAGTGCCGCTGGCCACTAACAGCTGATAGCGGCGCAGTGATGCGAGGAGAGGGATGAGGTGTGTGAGGTTGAGCCACTTGTCAGTTGTCAAAGGACAAGACGTGATTGGTTTGTTTCAATTTACATCCGCCCCAACAGTCATACGTTGTAAACACAGCCAGCATGGTGAGGAGGGGGTTTGTCAACTCGCGTCGCGTGCATCTGTGTAGGAGCCTGAATGAATACTCCATGTAGTATCGGATGACATGGTTTCATCAGTGTTATCATAGCTTTTTGGTACACAGCGGCTACAGTTGTTGCAATACGTGTTTGAAACAGTGAGGCGCTAGAGTGCGCCATCTGTTTGAATACAATATATGATTTCAACATTAGATGGGAGAAATTCCTACACACTGTGGCTTTAAAATTTTGACGTCTTCTACAGATCTATTTTTATTAGACACAAAATGCACACATGCTATCTGTGAAAAAAAGCTGATAATCCAAGATGGCACTTACGCTGTGTCTGGTATCTATCAAATGATGATATGCTTTGTTATGACATGTTTATGTGCTGATATATGTTTGATATAAGTATCTGTATCTGTACTGATATGTTTTTTTTCTTAAATGATGTTGGACTGATCTAAAATGTAAATAAAAACTTCAATGAAAAGATGACATTGGACAAAGGGGTAAAAACTGTTCCACTGTTGCATAAATTTAAGGTTTGTATCATATCTGGGGGAAAAAAACAACAACTAAAGATTGAGAAGTGACCTCTGAAAGCAGGAAGGAAGAAGACTGAGTTGTGACACACAAATTGAGACTTGTACTGATGATGTTTTTATACCTAATATTTATAATTATGTTTTTTGTCTAGTCATTTTATTAACTTTTATTGTATATTATGAAACAGTTTGATTTTTATGATCTATGGATACATTGCTGCTTGTTTTTTTAACTGTATCTTGTAAGGTGTCCTTGAGTGCTTTGAAAGGTGCCTATAAATAAAATGCATTTTCATCATTATTCTTATTAAGAGGAGAAGGACCAGCTGTGTGCATGACTGCAGAAATAATATGTCCAGAGAATTTACACCATAAACATGTATTTACTATCAAACTGCCTTGTTTTTTTGACATGCATCTGAGTATATCATTATCAGATAGTGAAAGAAAACAATTACATACCACTTTGAATAGTAAAAAGTATCAATATCAGTATCTATATTGGTGATTCTGGTATTACCTGGTATCAGGTGTAGCACTGAAACTATAAATCAGTTAATTGATTATGATGTCAATTGTTTGTCATTTCCTCAAGAGCTGCAACTAACAATTATGTTCCTAATCAGGTAATTGGCTGGTTGTTTTCTCAATAAATGCATGAATTGTTCAATTTAAAATGTCAGAAAACAGTGAAAAATGCAAGGTGTTATATTCAAATTGCTTGTTTTATCTAACCAACAATTCAAAATCCACAGATATTCAGTTTACGATCACATTTCACAAAGAAAGGCTCCAAATTCTCATATTTTAGAAGCTGAAACCAGCAAGTGTTTGGCTTTTTGCTTTATTTTGCTTGAAAATTGACTAAAACAATTAATTTATTATTAAATGGTTGCTGGTTAAGCTCCCCCCAATGGCCTACTGGATTGCCCAACTAACTGTTACAGTTGTGGCAAGGCTGAACTCATATTATGTAAATTAAAATATAAAAAGCCTACAATCCTAGTTGACATTATTGGATCAGTTTTAAGGGCCATGCTGGCGCTGTCCATTACCTGCGGTGCTGAAACTGATTAATGAAACCAGCACTAATCAACCATTTTGTAATTTCCGCAGCACACTACGTGGATAACGTTACATTTAATCCTCCAAGCACTGTGGAACGATCATATTAAATTATATCATCCTCAAACAAGTGGCCGTGACGAGCTAGTTGGAGCCAAAAGTGCCAGTTTCCCTCACCGGCTCACTCCAGTCAGAGCGCGGTGTTGCGTTTTCCCCCTCCCGTCAATCCGTTACTCGGATTCTTCAACGCCTGATAGGTAGTTTCCTTACGCCCCCCAGAGCTGTTAAAGGGTATATTACGTCGTGGGCGTAGCGGCTCCTTGTAATGGCGACCGTGCCGTAGATGTGCCTAGGTTTGTGAAAATGAAGCGAAGAAGAAGTTATTTCTTTTAAGTAAAACGCCGAGGTTCCCCGGAGGAGGACTTTGCGTCTACAACCATCACCTTTATAAGTGGTAAACTTAGCTGTACTTTTGAACTTTTGTGCCCTTTTGAAATGATGAAGCTCAAGTCGAACCAAACCCGGACGTACGACGGGGACGGCTACAAGAAGCGGGCCGCCTGCCTGTGCTTCAGGAGCGAGAGCGAGGAGGAGGTGAGTCCGGGGATGTCGCTGTCTGGCGGGCCAAGCTAGCGTTAGCAGCCGTAGCTGCTCCCTGTGTCTTCTCTGTCTGTAAATCGGTGTATTTATCAACAACAGCTGGGGTTTTATGCCAGCTGGAAACGATGGCTCACTCGTTTCTTGGCCTTTCTTATTACCCTCTGCTGTTGTGTATTAAACGTTAGTTTCGAGCTCGTACTTACCCAGGTGTTATGTAAGCCTCTTTAGCTGTGCATAATATACCAACCTCGGCTTTTTCTACTTGGAGTCAACCTGTTAGCTGCATGCTAATGCTAACGTTAGCCCGCTAACTAACGTTAGCCGTGTTGCTGCTGTGGGCAGCCGGCTCACGGCCAGCGACCACAGCCCACAGCAGACCGTGATGAGTGGGGACTTTGTGATAATCAGGCTCGGCTGGGTGGAAAGCGTTGTTTAGCTTTCCTAAGTGACAAGTTTAAACATTTGTCGGCTCACGTCACAGATGATTTGGCGAGTAAAATAACTGTTAAGTTAGTGTCAGCTGTGTGAGGGTCAATCCTGTTATGCAGCAGCGTATCTGTCCCTGTGAATTACTTCCTCATAATGTCTGTAAAATATGTATATTGCTGTATTGGTGTAAATATAATGTCTATAAAACATGTATATAAGTTATAGATTAAGGTCTGCCTCATCACATGAACACAAAATAATGCACATTAAAAAATACTCTCTTTACTTTCAGCTTTTGTTGCGTAGTAATGAACTTTTACAAGAACCACACGCCATCAAATTATGAAATACTCAATATATACTTTTATTTTTTTATAAGTAATGTCAAACTCTCTTATTTATATATACATAAATTAGGGGTAGGAATCACTAGAGTATCCATGATACAATACTATCACGATACTTAAGCACAATACAGTATTATTGCAATTTTTAAACATGCTGCAATATGCTGAGTATTGCAATAAAATATATTGCAATGTATTACCTTTTTTAACACTAAATTGTGCCTCTAAAGGAAACTTTGTCAACATCTGTTTTGTCTGATAGGATGAAGTTTTCAATCTGTTCATCTCAGTTCAGCCATTTTTTTGTGCAGCAGCAAAATATATCTAGTGGACTGTAAAAATAATTGAATATATTATTCTAGTAGGATACATAATGTTTAATTTGTATTTGTAATATTAATAATTAATATGATAAAAAAAATTAGGCTAATACTTGGCTCTTTGTGATGATACAATATTGTCACACAAACATTGTTGGTTTTCCCCACTCCTAAGAACTTTAGTTTTTTATTTTGTTTTTTTAGTATCTTCATAATTTATTGTGTCCCTGAAGTAATTTCTCACCCTGTCAGTTTGTTGTTTCTTGCCTTTTCCAAAAGAATAAAAAAACAGAAGATGACAAAGAAGACTAAAAGACTACAATTCCATTGAGACCTTTTTCATTCAGGAAGTGATGTAATTATTTTTGGAGGGAACTTAAAGGAGTTAAGTGGGGTGAGCTTAAACTTTAACTCATGTCTGTTTTTCCATGTTTTATGATATTAATCTGTTTGTCACACTGTTAAAAGTTACACCACAAAATTTTGAAAGTTAATCCAGTCAAAAAAATGTAAAGAAATAAGACATCATGTGTAAAATGTTAGCAAGTTAAATCTGGATCACTCACAGAGCTAAAAATTTCCCACCCTCTTAGGTCAATAGACTAAACCAGTGTACCCATAAGGATTATTATTTGAGTTTCTGAGATTTACCAATATGTATTCCTGACTGTTTAAATGTGTCACTTTTTATAATGAAGAAAACATGAAAAATCCAGCTTTTCCTATTTTTCAAAAGTTAAGAGGCCAAAATGTTGCTGCATGACAGGAATGACCCGTTAAATACAACTGGTATTTATAGCCAAACATTGGACTGATATGTAACTATTAGCTGTGCTACCTTTAGCCAAAAGACAACACTGGTAGCAACACCCAGTTATCTACACTGCTATGTATTTTCAGTTGTTAACATTCAGTATACTAAGATTTGTATCATGTACTCTCTTTAATGACAAACCTCTTTGTTAAAGAAAATCACCACGTAGTCAGTGTAACTGTGTCAATGTGCCACTCGCTACCTTCCACTCTTCCACTAAAACCACTCAAAGTAGCCTTCAAAGGGTTATATGAGATCAGAGGTGATTTTGGGAAGCTGATGTCCAGCTAACAACACGCACAAAGATGTCTTTGTAATGGAAACATTATTACTGGGGGGGTGACTAATCGAGACTTAACTCTTTCCTCATTTTGGTGAAAGAAGAGGCCAGTTTGTGAATAACTTGGGCTGTTGATAACTGAAACACATCAGTCTGACCCGCACGTAGCTAGAAACTATTACAGGAGAGTACAGTTTACCAGATCGGCTGTCAGCCAAGCCTCAGCTTGTCTCCCAACAGACTGTTGACACCATGAAGTCACCCTGCTGGTGTGGAAAAAAAGCAAACAAAGTGACACAAGCTTGGTAGCTTTCAGTGGCTATTGTGTCACACATTGGGGTTTGGCTCTTCTTCCGTTTATTACCAACACAGATCACTGAATAATCTTGCTCAAGCAGCATCACTTGTGTAATGGGGACACACACCAATGAATACACGATTTAACAAACAACGTCGAGTTAGACTGTAATGACTAACCGGTCTTGTATGGGATGCTTTACAGGTGCTGCTGGTGAGCAGTAGTCGACATCCTGACAAGTGGATAGTTCCTGGAGGGGGCATGGAGCCAGAGGAGGAGCCCAATGTTGCTGCAGCTCGAGAAGTGTGTGAAGAGGTTAGTTCTGTAACTGTTTTTCATAGTTATTATATCTAATGTAATCTTTTAATGTGGACCCCTTTACTTTCCCTGATGTTGACCTTGTGTAGACTGTGCGCCAGCAAACTTAACTTGACCCTTGTGTCTAAAACGTGGGTGTGAAACATGCCTTTCTAGACTTAGCACATAGCCAGGAATATTGTTCTGAGAATGGATTTACATCTGCAGCGTGGCAAATTACATTGAGTATAAGCTTATAAGATGTATTGTGTTTCATTTCTATGAAATCATGTCTGTATTTAACACTGGGCCTAATACCTTGCACTCAGGACCCATTTCGTCAGTGCAGTCATCCTGTTTGCATGGCCATGAGAGCGAGAGAACCTAGCAACATGTAAGCTGTATCATAGCATCATGTTACAAAGCAGTGTTTAGGTGTCAGAGGAGGTCACGCTGAGATTGAACACTGGCTGCCCAGCGGTTGCACTGCGGCACTATCCGATCCCACAAATACGGCAAATGAAGGGAAACGATCAGCTTTCATTCTGTGTATGTTTTAGACAGTTCTATTTTTGCAGCAGCAGCCTGGCTATGGAGGCAGTTTGAAGGGCAAAATGTGTCTATTTTTGTTTGCAAGTGTGTTTTGGGAGGATATAGCAATTGGTAAACAGTCCCACAACTCATTGGAAATCAATAACACTGCTTATACCGCCTACGTATGTCCTTTAGATCAGGTACCCTCCCTCTGTACAAGCTGTTCATCGCTCGGGCATTTTGATCTGAATGGCAACAGGGCACCTAAGACACTGAATCTCACCCGGCTGTCAGCTCCTGGCGGGTCACTGACCGTATAAAGCCTATTCTTTGTGTGTGATCCATCACACTGAGGGATGCTGATATCATCCCTTATCCTGGCTCACGCTGTTTGGTAGCTCTGGCGGTTGCAGGACGCAGCGGCTTGCCAACACATTTCCACAGGGTCAAATGCAATGTCACATCACCACTGAGGTTTAAAAGTGCTAAAAAGGCCGCATTCAGAAACTTTATGGTGACTTTGAGTGGTACTCAATGCATCACCATGTTCTGTGGCTTCCTAAGCTTCTTATTGGACGGTGGTGTAACAGGACATATCCTAATCCTGACAAGCTTATTCTGATGACCATATGAGCGGTGAGTGATCGCTTATGCTTATTGGGTTGGAGCCTTGCCAGAGACAATAGTGGAGACGCAGCAGTCAGGAGCAGGCTAAAGGTTACAGACGGTTTCTTTTTCTATCTGACTGTTCACAACCTCAGCTCATGCCCGGTAGTCGTACGCACTGCATCAAGAAGACAAAGGACAGTATTGCATAACTTGTAATGCTGCTTCAATGTCGTGCATCCTCTCCCAAGACGATGCCTAGTAGTGTTCAGTTACACGAATGTTTGACTTGGGAGACAGTTTCCATCTCAAAACATACAGGTTGACTTTTGGCCTATTACTTAATCCCTGGCACATCTTTGTGGTTTCTAATGGTGGTGGGCCTGTTCTTTTGCATATGATCTTGCTGAAGGCCTGAAGAGTCCAACTCTGAGTCCTTGGTACAGAGGGTGCAGTCAACATTTATTTATAGACTGAAACTGGAACCTGAAGAAGAAGCTGCAAAGATGTCAGCAAGTGGTCTGGCTCTGTATCTAAACCTGACCTACTATCCACCTCTGGGAGATCAGATCTACTGTGGGGATTATTTTTGTTATAAGAATATGTTAAAGGTAACAAGCAAGCTGTCCTCTGTCTTTAGGAAAGGCTGTGACATATTTGCATGGTTTGGGTGTTGAGGCCACGGGAAGAGTTAGGCAAGTGACAGCAAAACAGATGTTGTGTTGTTTGTTTGTGACCTACGTGATCTTTTATGGTACTCAAAACATCTTGTAGTGAAGCTGTCAGTATGTGACAGTAAGCGATAGCGGAGCGGAGGTGTCTACATGTATTTTGCAGCTGCAGAATTTAGAACTGCAACAATATTTGGATGACGGAAAGTTTTTCTTGAAGTCATTTCTTAAAGGGAACCTGTTGTGCTTTTCTATATTTTGTGTCTTATATCCAGTGTTACAATGATGGATGTTCGTATTAAATGTGGCCAAAGTTTCATATAAAGATGTAAACGTATGTAGAAGTAATCCCTGTGAGCAAAAACCGCAGGCTTCCTACTGTTTTGAATACTCTGTTTGCAAATGTTTTCCTACTGTGTTACAGTATGACATCATAGTGTACTGGATTTCTTTATATGGTCATCTGCTCCAGGCACGCTACTGCAAGTGCTTACATTACATACCCTACACTGGTAAATGAAGCTAAATGCTAACGTCAGGGAAACATGTAAACTTTTTTGCTGATGTTGTACATTTCTCCCCAATTTCAGATCATATTCCTGCTGGAACATGTCTGGTTGTGTTTAGAGGCTTTTATTGGTGATTTTACAAGGTAGAAAGTGCTGCTATTCTCAGTTACAGTCACTCTGCGGCTGCAATAATGGTTTTGAGACGCCAAGATATGGAAGACCACATAACGTTGACCAGTTAGATCAGACTGGACTTTTTCGGGAGGGGGTATAAAGAGACAGGTGGTTAACAAAGCGTCTCAGACAGACTATGAAAACAGGTGTTCTCGCACACACTCTATGAGGAAAATAGTGTTTTTAGGCCGATAAAGCATGTGAACATGTTCTAGTAGAAACCTCAATTACAAGTATAACCCTGACAATGAGCATAATAGGGCCCCTTTAAGTAAAAACACCAAACTTTTGCTAGTTTCAGCTTCACAGGTGTGTCAGTTAGCTAGTTTTCTCTGTTTTGTATAATTGTGAATAAAATATTTGGGTTTTGACTGTTGGTTGGACCAAACAAGACATGAGGCTTGGGAACCGATCGGCCAAAACATTAAAACCACAGGCGGATAAAGTGATTAACATTGTTCATCTTGTTACGATGCAATGTGCGGCTTGAAATCTTTGAGTCCTTGTGTTCTTTGGATGCCACTTAAAATGCTCCACTCACTCAATCACCATTACAGACCAAGTATCCCCTCCCATGGCAACACCATTCCTAGATGGCTGTGGCCCCCAAGCTCAAAGCATTGGCCCGGCCTCAAAAATCCCAAGATCCCAATCTGGACGAACATTTGTGGGACATGCTGGTACCCCAGAGGTACCCCCAATCCACAGTGGGGCCTCCTTCTCACATGCTGTAGCATGAACAGAGGACCTCTGGAGGTGCCCCGTGGTGTCTGGCACTGCAATATTGGCAGCAGATCCTTTGAGTCCTGTGGGCCGTGAGGTGGGGTACCAGCACGTCCCACAAATGCTTGATCAGATTGGGATCTAGGGACTTTTGAGGCTAGGTAGACGTCTTGAGTTCTTTGGCACATTCCTGGGGCCATGCCTGAGCAGTTTTGCCGTTGCCATGAGGGTTTACTCGGTCTGTAATGGTGTCTCGGTGGGTGGACACGTCAAGTGGCATCAACATGAATGCCAGGACCCAAGGTTTCCCAGCCGAACATTGCATCAAGGAGATTATCACTGTTATTCACGTCACATGTCAGGGGTTTCTTTGGTAGAGTGTTGTGTGTCAGAGCCAGTCAGAAAGATTTGTACAGCAGCAGTGGGCTTGACGAGGATGAAACAGGCCTACCTGATTGTAAAGACAGGAAACAACATACATTACAGATAAGGGAGACATCCCTGTAGAGTTAGCATCCGATGAGAGAGATGGTTTAGGAACAACATCCCTGACCGTATCCAGAGGTGGTCTGGCTGATGGGATCACAGTCTGTCCTCAGTGTGTTTTGAGTGCATTTACACCTGTACTGTCAAGTGGTCTAACACTATCTGACTGCAGTCTTATCACCCAAAATGATTTTACTGCCAGGGGTAAAGGGGGTCTGTTGGTGACTCTGTTTTCAGAGCGTAGACTGTCAGACTAATTTTATTACTTACTTTACTTACCGTTGCCTAAATTAGTCCTCATTGCACTGATGTGTGAAATTAATGAAGAAGGAATCAGAACATGCAGAACACGTCTTCAGCTTTGGGTCAAATTTAAGTGAGTGTTTTTGTGTATTTAAAGTCGTGTGTTACTCTGAGGATTCAGCAGCAACCCTGGAATTACACGGAGTGAATTTGCAGGGGATAAAAACAGTCTCATGATGTAATGTAATCCACTGCAACACAAACAATTTCAAAATTAAAGTCTCAACAAAACACTACGGGGTTCAGAAATGCAGTGTTTACTGTCAGGCGCCTCTGCCTCCACATATTTAAGAACAGCCCTGAGGTGTAACTGCGTGCTGCGGTATGTATTTGCACACCGTTTTAATCGTTCTCCTTTGTTTTACAGGCCGGTGTGAAGGGGACTTTAGGTCGCTTAGTCGGAGTATTTGAGGTGAGGCTTGTTTGCTGTCGACTTTTTTTTTTCTCTCTTTGGTCTACAAATGTCAACACACTGTGCAGCATGTTTGCGAATGAGAAGTGAAAACATGACAGTGTTTTCCCCCTCTTACAGAACCAGGAGAGGAAACACAGAACCTACGTCTACGTTCTTATTGTAACAGAGTTGCTGGAGGACTGGGAGGACTCGGTCAACATTGGTAAAGCACCGCATTTGTTTACTAGTCAGAATGGGGATCATACGGACAAAGTTCTCAGGCAGTCACATGCTGTCTGTAGCTTTGTTTTTCCCAGGCCTTGGTGATATTACAGTCCAGGGATTTTATTGTATGTGTGTTGGAGGGTGGGATTAAAACACCAGCTTTGTTCCTGCCCTTGTGATTTTCACTTCAGCGCCATGCACAGCACTGATAATTAGTCAATGCTATTTTTTCATAATGTGTTGATTATTTTTTTCCCTGTGTCATCTCTCACATGTCTTAACTTGTTCCACAATGGTGTCTTGTTCTGTCGACAGGGAGAAAAAGGGAATGGTTTAAAATAGACGATGCCATACAAGTGTTGCAGTGTCACAAGCCTGTGCAGGCCACCTACTTCGAGGCTCTCCAGGAGAGTTGCCTGACCAGTAACGGAACACCTTTGGTGGCCACGATAGGCGGGGACCTCTCCCCTACCTACAGCATCAATCAGAGCTCCGTCTCGGGTATCAGATAACTAAAACCATAACTCTGACACCTTTTGGGAGCTTTCACCACCACTTGCGCTCTTACTTGTGTCATTTCTCTTTCTCTTTCTCTTCTCTGTTCTTCTCTTTTCTCTTTCTGTCTCAATAACATGGTTTGCCTTGCCAACTCCTTTGTGCCAGAACTGTGGCACAGACTTGATGACAAGTGTCGGTTGAATAGTCTGAAACACTTTGTAAATGTAAATGTAATTTTTGACCCCTATTTTTTTTTTCTTTTTACTGACAACTGCATGAAATGTCCCCTCGTTCCCCTCATCCTCTTTCCTTAACGCGCCCTTAGCGTGGTGTTTATTGAATGCAAGAACTACTTTTTACTGTTGTAATGTAAAAGTGTATACTTAGTGCTTAAGCTGAAGGCTTTTGGTGGTCTTTTTAAAGTCTCCTCCATTTGTTTTTTTTCGGTTATTTTTTCTGTGAATGAATGTGCCCATTAGTGTATTCCCTCCCCCCTGTTAATAAGGATAGGATATGTCGTCTGTATCTGGATGAACAGAATTGTGGGAAGTGACTTGTCTTGCATGAGCACTGTTATGTTGTGTCTCACTCGCTCGAGTGACCTGATGCTGACTGTGCAACAGACTCGTGGTAAGGTCTTTTGGATTCTCTTCATTTTGCTCCTTATCGTGGTTATCGATGTCTCTCTAATCAGAAGGATACGGCTCCTCGCTAGTTTTTCCAATCTCAAGTGTCAACTGTGTTTCTCTCTTATTTGGGAAGCTAGCCAAGCACTACAGGTTTCACTCTCAGACAGACATCTATATACTGTAACGAGAGAGAAAGAATGTCAACATACAATGTCAAATGAACCACCTTTCTCCTCAGTGTCTTTACCTCCTTTTAATCCTTTTTTTGTTTTCTTTTTTTAAAACCTGCTTTCTTGTGACTGACTACAAAGTCTTCCTCCACACACTGAGAGGGTAGAAGTAGTAGATTTTAAAAAAAAAAAAAAAATCATGGACTTGTAATTTCAAAATGCAGCACATATCACTTAAGTTATTAAAAACCATTTCCATATTTTACTCCTCACATTCAGTTTGGTTAAAAGCAATTGTTTACACTGTGTTGGTAACGGCACAGGTGACTTTAGTGGGCACTCATTATGGTCATTTTTTTTTTTTATTTACCCTTCCTGTTAGTATTTAATCTGCATCCCCAAAAACACTCAAAACACCTGCTTGACATCGAACGTAATGGAATCTATAATGCTGATGCAGAACAAACAAGCCTTGTACAGTTTGAGACCTCGTTTTTAACATGTAAAATGCTTTTGGATACTAGTTCTTTTTTTTTGTTTCTTTGTTTTTATGTTTTTTCTCTCTAACGTCTGGCAAAAGTCTCTTTAGCCGAGCTGCGTCACTTTGGCCTCGATGTGGCATGAGGCAGCTGGCTCAATACTGTGAAACTGGAGGCGCTGTAGATAGCATGTTAGAGGTTTTTATTGTAAATTGTTTATTTCTGTATAGATCAAAGGTGAGAGTACAAATGACAAAACACCTCTTACACATCTGTGAGTCCGACGTGTCATTTCAACTGAGGCTGGAGGGACATTGATCTCGTGCCGTTGGCTTTGGAGCTGTTGGGGAATTTTCTCTAGAGAGAGAGAGAGAGCTTACAGCACATCAGAGGCTAAAGAACAAGGACTGAGGCTGTTGGTGAGAGTTAAGAGCCTATTTATAAGCAAATATTCTGGAAATCCTTTTCCTTTTTTATGGCAAAACAGATTTGTGACAGTGAGAAATTACTGTTCTTTGGCTACGTTATAGTCTGAGTTTCCAAAACCACTACTTAGTTTAAAAGTAAAGCCAACCTGAAGCTTCTTTTCTGGCCAGCAGCTGTTCCACTTTCCCCAGTTTTCCCACTGAGGGTTTCTTTTGTTGGTCTTTCTCAAAAACTTCAAACATGATACTGTGGTTTTCTGTCCATACTCAGATCTGTAAGATTTTTTCTTGGCCACTTGCGTGCAGTGGAAACAAGCTGTAAACGTTACTCTGAAATCAGTTTTTTAGGTTTATATGGAAAACTTGTTGGCAAACAGTTGCCTGTTGACTCTTGTTTGTGTCCGCTTGATAAAAGTAATGCTGTGTTCACACTTTGAGCGACACAGCAACAGTGTGGCCAGCTGAGTTGCCGTTGAAGTGTTGCTCAAGTGGTCGTTGACGTAGTTGCATCATCACGGGCCTCTGCGTGTCTGCTGTTGGCGACAAATGCTGTAATCCAGTGTACTTGAAACTTTGAAAAAAAAAGGCAACGTCTGACATGGAAAAGTGTGATGGAACAGTCCTCTAGGTCGGAACTTAGAGTTGGACACTAAGGCGAGATCTGTCGAGTTCGCCAACATAAACACATCTGAAGTCACAGCAACATGGCAGCAAACAAAGTTAACCTAGCAGAATTACCTTTTCATCAGTTTCACTTTTTGTAGTGTTTGTGTGTGTTCTACAACGTAACACTATTGACTGTGGTTCACACTATTAGGCTCGGCACATATTAAAACCATTTTGAATTGCTGTACGTTATCTAAATGAGCAAAGACAAGCAAGACAGTTGACTTGTCGCTAATGGATCGGAAGTTGGGAGCATCTACTCGGAAATTATCGACTTTGTTCCAGTAGATTGCAGGAAAAGCACCGCGACTTAACAGCATCTAAAATTTGTATTTGGTAGCGGCAAAATCAACACAAAACAAAAACATGATTGGTTGAGGCCTCACTGGAGCGCTGAAAAAATTGAGGCCAGCTCAACTTTAAGTGTCGGGCATCAGTTTGTAGCTTCATGTCACCGCCTTCCTTTGAAAATGACTTACAGCCTGTTGCTCTGTTTTTCATAGTGTGAACACAGGATTAGGCTAATTACCGCCCCTCTTTTTGCTTTGTTTTGGTCTCCTCCAGTTCCTGAGGTTAATATCAGGCTCTTAGATTGTAAACGCTCCACTATCATCACCTGTGAGACACCAAATTTGCCTCATGTAAGCAGGTAGCGCATGTTGGTTTTCATAGCTTTTTATATGCTGTAAGAGTGAACTTAAACATCGAAGTCGTGGGCCGTGAAGTAAAAAATGTGGCCATGGACAAATAAGCATACACACTGTTCAAAGAATGCGACCATATGCAGCTTCAGACCACCTCCAAATGTGGTCTGGGTGATTGGATCTCAAGATGTGTTAGCTTTCATACGAGTTATCATGTCAGCCACGGTTATTATAGAGACATTGATTGTAGCAGCAGTTTTGATCGTGCACCTATTGCTAAGGCTCATGGGGGCTGTAGTTTTTGGATGCAGACAAAGTTTAATTGTTTAATCTTGGTTATAATGATGTGGTGCTCAAAAGTGACCGACCAGTACTGTAGCAGACACTCATTTAACTTTGATTATGAACAGAAGACTCCAGTATCATGACTCAGTCCTTCAAAAAAAGCCTTCATGGGAAATTAGACTGAGAACTGAGAGCTGGGGGATCAAGAGCTAACCTAGAAAAGAGGCAGGAAGGATCTCTACAGTGACAGCAGCAGTGGTGGTGGTCGTCTTTACTCATGGTGTTTTCTCCCAGTTGTTTGAAGGGGCACAATCCAGCCAGCAAATTTAACTTAAGACGGAGTCCTTTATACTCCCTGAATAAAGAGAAAAACATGTAGTGAACATGGAAGGAGTGTGGAGTCTCCTTCACAACGGTTTGAGACTTTGACCTCATTTTATTGCTGCGAATCAGAAAGGTGCGGTGGCCAAAGTCTTACTTTACGATGCCCTATTTGGCACTTCATGAGAGTTCGTGTTGATTAGACCTTTAAGTCTTTATTGAAATGTGCAATCGGATGTTAAGGGGATGATATACGGTTAAAAAATTTCAAATTCTCTTAAAGTAATTGGTGATTTAATTAGCTCTTGGTGGTTGGTTGCGGGTGACAGGTACTGTCAAAATGAATGTGAGGAGGATTTCCACATGTAACAGCCAGTGACTTAATTATTAATGACCACTTGTTTTTGATCCATACTTTTTTTTTAGTTTGTTCTTTAATCTGTTGTGTTGTTGACAAGCTAATGTCTTGTAAATAGCTAACACAGCACCCTTACAGCCAGAGGACGCACTTTGGCAACGGTTAATAAGGATTAGAGTCCTTTTTTTTTTTTTTTTTTAAACAATTCCCTTCTAACTCGAAATTTAGGCACTTCCTGTCAGTTGTAAAGGGATCAGGGCCGGAGTTCAGGAGGGAATTTATGAAGTACATGTCTCCATATGAGCATGCCAGAGTTAATGTGGAGTTGAGATGGAGCATCTACCCTATCTCAATTGGCTCTTTTGTATGACATTAAAGCTTCTGAACTTTGGGGAAGACAATTAAAAAGAGACCTTCAAAACAGCCACTTCCTTTCCTAACCAAAGGTGATGGTTTGAACATGTATTGCCCCATCTTGTGGCCAAAGCAAAAAAATATATTAAAAGCACATCACTTTGCAGCTGAGGATTGTAACAGTATCCTTTAGCGCGAGAGCCAAATGGTCATTTTCATAACTTAATGAATTTAGTAATTAGACATTAACTGAAAAAGCTCTTAAAAAAGATCGACCCCAAATACTAGTAATTGACTAACAAACTAAACACACATGCACCTGACCTCAGCCTTGAAGTGACATTCTCCAAGGTATACGTGTCACTGGAATTTTTCTTTTCCTCTCTTTTGTCATTTGGGACTGTGGAATAAAACCAGTGCGAGAAGACTGAAGATTGTAATATAAATGTGCCAACAAATAAACACCAGTATTTCACATTCAGGCCAGTGTCGCTGATTGTGTGTGTGTGTCAGTGTGGTGTTAGTGCCTGCAGGACTCTTTTCGTACAGTAACACTACACGTTAGATAAGAGGACTGATTTTAAGAATACATACTGATTACAGTCAAACTTTCACTTAAAGTCATTAAATATAATGAAGAATATAGAATGTTATATTCTACATATATGCTTTTTACTAAAACAATATATTCAGAAGAACCCCCTTTGTAATCATTTTGTAAAACATTCATTTTACGTAATGGCTTACCCGGTTGGGTGTCTTGGTGGGGCTGGAGCCTATCCCAGCTGACATTGGGTGAGAGGCAGGGTTCACCCTGGACCACCAGACTATCACAGGGCTGACACAGAGACAGACAACCATTCGCACTCACATTCACACCTACGGACAATTTAGAGTCACCAGTTAACCTGCATGTCTTTGGACTGTGGGAGGAAGCTGGAGTACCTGGAGGAAACCCACGCTGACACGTGGAGAACCTGCAAACTCCATACAGAAGGGCTCCCCCTACTCGGAGTTCGGACTGGGAATGTTGCTGTGAGGTGACAATGCTAACCACTGCCTAAAATAAAAAATGTAGACTAAAACATTCATTCTGTTGCTTTGCATCTTGTTGCTGTGCAGAGCCTATTTCCAGACATTTTTAGCTTTATTGCTCAGTTTAAAACATGTTAGAAAAGTAATCAGATGCAATGTTATGTGAATTAAATAGTTGCATTACTTATTACATTTTTAAGAGGGTAGATAGCAGTCTGTAACCAATTACATTTCAAAAGTAACCTCCCCAACACTGCATGCTATATACCACTCTTTATACTGAGCTATTTTTTCCACTTATAATACAATAAATCAACACAACAGTTTCATACTCCAAAAAAATAATACAATAAGTACATCTTCAGAATGCTGCTACCTTATAAAGAGAGCCAAACGCCTCCTCAAAGATGTCTCCCTTTGAAATAAAGAAGTAAAGATCTTTCTGGAGCTCTCACCACCATACACATTTACAAAAAAACTGTTTTGAAGTTGTGGCTAGAGCCTCTGACGTCCTAAACCAGCACTTTATACTTATACTAAGCAGACTTTAAATATGTTTTGTGTTCACTGTAGACAAGCAGACACAGAAAGTGAAAATACAGTGTGCTGTTGATGCACACATTTTTTTTGGGGAAAAAGCAGCTGTCGTCTCTGTGAAGTCTAATAGGCAGTTTGTTCCTTGAAGTTGTGGTTTGTTTGATGGCCCATGTATCATTTCATGTTAATATAAAACAGACCTATTTCTCCCAAAACTGCATACTATCATGATTAATATGACGTATTTAGTGTGTACAAATGGTAATGTATAGATTTGGGACACTGCGCCCATTTTATTTGTCAATTGCACTGTGGGACAGTAGTGCACATCAGCAGCACTCAGAAATAAAGCTTAGTACAAATGTGAATTTTTTTTTAGCGTACTTCGTGTAGTAATTATTCCAGTGCGAACACACACACACAACTTGTGTAGAATTAGTGTGTGGTGAGGAAGTGGGGCATGTTAATGGGCATGACTTCACATTACAAGACAGAGGAACTGCATGTGACATGTCATGTGTGTAATGACACATAAGTATTGCCCTGAAGCAGAAGCTGTTCCTTGTACTGAAGAAGCAGACTTTACATTACTCCACGCAGTCTAGACACCGGTTTGCATATTTCCTGTTAATAAATAAGTGTATATATTCCCTGTGTAAAGTTTTAGGGCTCTGCACACCCTCAAAGGTATTTATGCTTTTACTGCCTGATAAAGGTTCTCTCTGCTCAGGTGGAGCTGTTACAAATTACACAAGGTCACCAAATCGATACAGTAATAAAGTGGTATGAGTGTGTCCTGAGAAGTCGTCTAATCAGGTGAGGACACCTGTGTGGGCATACCAAGGAAGTGAAATGGCCTCATCAGAGCCAGCCCTCTTTTCCAATCATGTCATGAGCACAGAACAAGACCCCTCAGATCCAGAGCTCCCTTTTAAAATCACTTTTTAATTTTAGCAAACTGCTTATTTTATGTCTCATTAAGTTTTCATCTTGTGTTGTTAGTGGTTATTGTATTCTTTTATTTTGCATCACCGTACCTCAGTACAGTCTATAGGGCAATTAGTTAATACTAATCCAGTGAGTTTATGTAGTGCACAGCAGGTGTCTATCTTATCAATTTCATGGCTTCAGTTTCAGGGTCCTAGTGCATGCTGCCTCACCATGAATGTTGGTGAGTTTACCACTTCATTAATGATCCAAGAAAGAAAACAATTTACATCAAGTCTCACCAACTTGATCCTGTTTTTAATTCTGTGGTATGTACAGTATCTGGACACGGTCATCTTGATGTGTGCTGACTCTTCTAAATCTAACCCTGCTCACCATCTTCCCTCTGCTCAGTGTTAAATAAAGATCTGAGAACGTTCATTTTCAAATTCCTCATCAGCCACGATCCTCATGAATACAAACAATACTGAGACAGCCGAGTTGTATTTTGATTTTCTTTATTGTACAGAAAGAGGTGGTGAAATTTACTGAGGCTGCTGTCCTCTGCCGCGTCCAAACCCTCCCCTCTGCAACAGGGAAAAGTTCTTGTCAATACATCAGTCAACCTGAGTTCAACAGAAGAATCAAACTTTATAACTGCAAATTAAATTCAGCCTGCTGACATTCCTGATCAGAGCCATTGTAAAACCGCACCCACAGGCTGACAATGTTTCAGGGAGGAATGTTTGACATTCTTGTCGTATAATTGCCGTGGAAAACATTCCTCATTACCCATAATAGAAGTAAATGATTCAAGACCAGAAATATGCTCATCTTGTCGACAAATAAAAATTCCCACAAAGGGAAACTGAAGGAACATAATTCAGTGTTTAACAGTGTAAATGTGGCAGCAGTACTTACGAACTGGAATTCTGTGGCAGCTCCAGCACCAGCCTCGGCTTTCTTATCAGCACCAGCTGATGGACAAAGTAGAACAAACAAGTCAGACTTTCAATTTTTATAAGCATCAAAACACAAGAAACTAGCAAAAAAAAAAGCTCTTATACATGCACAATGCTGTGTTTACATTTGAGAAAGTTTTCAACTGCATTAACAGGAAGATACCAACACACAGTGTTGCAGTTTGTGGAGCTTTGAGTCATTGGTTGGATAACTGATCAGTCAATCTGACTAGAGCTCATCAGGTCAGATCAATGTATGAGAGGAGCAGCTATTTGTGAGCGAGCAAACTTTCTGACTCAGCACAACAAACAGTTAAGTTTCACTTTCACTGTGTCTGACATTGTGCTGCTCCGTCTGAACCCAGAGTCCCTCTGTGCTCCGAGAGCGTAGGGCAATTAATAACCAAATGGAACTGATATATTTCAACAGCACACCTACTGTACAGTCCAGCTCCAAAAACAGAAAATCAAAATGTGGCAGCAGAAGTCACTTTAGATTGTTTAATTTCCTTTATAATGTGCATATTTGTGTTATGACAGTTTCCTGACAGTGAGTCACATCAATGAATTTCAGTATTCTTTTCAGGTATAAATCGTTGCTAGTTATGCCTAGTTCACATTCCACTTTAGTCCAGATTTTCTGCTCACGGACAGCTTTTGAGTTCCCCATCAAAAGCTACAGATCAGAGGCAAATCAGCATTTGTGTTGCAAATTGGTGCTTGAGAACTTTGTGTAAACCGTTCAAAGATGCAAACGAAGATGCTCACCAATGCATCGCAGACGCTTCCCAAATATCTAGCATGCTAAACATCTGGAGCTATTGGGCAGCTAACAGCCAATGAGAGTGCCAGACAAGGACTGAGGACAGAGACAAGTGGCACTGTGCGAAGGGTGTGTGTGTTTGAGAGAGGGAAAGTGACGAGAAAGGGGGAAGAGAAGGTGGACTATTGCATTCAATGTTTCTGTACATTCTTAGCCTGATAACTTTGCCTTGTACTGCATTGATAGTGTTAGCTGGGGATGCATCAGGTGGCATTAGCTTTTAAACTTGGTAAAACGTCTCAAGCAAGTCCAGTTGCCTATGATACAGCACTTAAGACTTCAATGCGCCCGATTACAAGACGGCAAGTTGTGCAGTGTGAACAGAACAGCGACCTGAAGATGCTGACAGTCATGTAGTGTGAACTTAGCTTCATAGAGCGTTGTCAATGCATCATACTATCTTAAAAATCAACCTACAGTTTCAAGCCAAGGTCACAATTTCTACCTGCCTCACAATGCTGCTCATTTCAATGATGAACACATCATGAGACCACCTAAGCAACTCCATTCATGATGGTGATAACAGTATACTTACGGGGTGCAGCAGATCGCCTGTATGCATCTCTGTCGGCCTCACTACGATTAAGGCGGGCAGGCCTCTCTCCTTCCATTCCTGCAGAAATAAACACAAGAACAATTTCAGTTTAGAGGTTTAAATGTTCAGTTTAAGTCAAAGGCTTCATTAAATACATGTGTGCATGTGTAGGCAACAGTATTTATAAAAACTTGGTCTCTGAGAATTCATGACCAACTTTAGGACATTTGTACACTTAAGGGCGAAATACACTCCCAGAAGGCACTGCTGTTACAGACTACCACATTTTATCTTGCACTTAAACTCTAAAGCGAGGGACGAATGGTGTGTGGTGGCAGGTACATCATTAGCCAATAAGAGTATTAAATTATTGTTCCCATAATGGAATTTCAGCCGATAATTATGTGCCCCACACACACAGAGCAGACAGCAGAGTCAACTCCAGTCTACTGCTCGTTATCCATGAGAGCAACAAAGACCAACAGTAAGGAAGACAGTACAAGCAGTCAAACACCCTTTGAATAAGCAGAGCATTGACTTGTGGAAATGCAGCGTCTTCGCCCCCTCTGCCTGCTCTCAGGTTGCTGCCCCATCTAAACCCTGGTGTGTTCACACAGACATACCAAGCTCATTATGCTAATAGTGACCTGTATACAAGCTAC